TGGACAACAAAAGTTCTTATCAAACCATATAGAAGTATTAGGAACTAAACTGTCCTTGAGAAAAAGCTGGTCGGAAAGAGAACGATGATTTAGATGCCTGACAGGAACAGTTATGAATGATGACTATTTGAACGACATAATTAACATAAGATGAGATGAGGAAGCACTTGGAGCATTCGAGAGAACTGTTCTCTGCAAGGTTTTTGGAGTCGTCCGCGAAAGCTTTGGGTACCGAAGAAGATGGAACCACGAACTGTATGAGCTCTACGGCAACATGTACGCATAAAAATCCCACGAATGCGCTGGTTAGGCCATGTCGTACGCTTGGAAGACCATGCTCAAGTGAAAAGTTTCTTCGATTCGAGACACACGCATACAATAGAAGGACCAAGTGCATTGGGACCAATCTGCATATGGAAAGTATTGTACAACTGGCGTGATCTCGCAAGGGATGGAGGTAACTAACGAAGTTATGTGTTATCGGCCCAGACCGATCCACGGTTGCAGTACCAACGAAGAAGAAGATTATGATGATCAGATAGGACTAAGACTAAATTGTTTTAATTTTTAGGAAAATATAAGATTTCAGCTCATAATTACAATAAATAGCGGCCATTCAAACGATACTTTCAATAAGGGTGAGGGAGCAATGAATATTACTGGCAAGGAGAAATCAGAATATAGAGAACTGTATAAAAAAATCAGTTGTACCTTTTTTAAATGATTGACTTCGTGAAATATTATCATTCCATGAATTAACCGGACAATAGTAATAAATCCCGGTAACTGCCAGCGGTCCAACTGTTTCCTATATGAGAGAACATTTTGGATTTCTCGCAGAGAGTTTGGTGTTAAAGTCAGCCTCTTTGGTCCAATGTTGTCAGACGGAGTTGACGACTGAAACGCACTGAGCTCTGTCTGAGTATGTCCTTGAACTAAACAACTCTTCTCAATAAAACTTTGATCTTAGAGCGATAAAACTCAATATTAATACATTTGTTAAAATGACAGCAGTGTACGAAGAACGATCTACAGTGGCCATGAATATCACGTGCATCAAAAAGAGTTACCAGCAGAATATGAAAATTACTTCTTACCCAAAAATATACATAAATGAATTTTGAAAAAATTAAAAATTAATATATACTAAATAACTAAGAAGACTTACTTCAAAAAATAATTTAAACAAAGTTGCCAGATTATAAAAACGGAAAATGTTGTACAATAGGTTTGCCAGTTTATGGAATTTAAATTTTATATAGTAAGCTGAAAAAAGTAGCTCTCTTCGATTCTGTTGGCTCGTTTTGAGCTTTGTGCTCGTGTCAAAATATTTACATTTGATAAACAACAACAAAGAGTAGAGTTTATAAAAGTAAGTTGTTCGATGCACTAACTTCTTAAACGCAACTACTTTACTCAATCAACTACACATCGTATATTACAGAGATTACTCAACTGCCTTAACACAGTACAAATAAAATATACAATTAATTTTCTTGTAATTGTCACGCCTACACACAAAGCAGTTACGCGTCCAAATGTATCATATGATTGAAATTGATTTGACAAAACAGGCTGTCACTTAAACGCTTGCGACTCCAGCGCGCGAAGCTACAAATGTAGCAAAATTATTTACGCGAAAAAGAACGGCATACTTAACGGCATTATTGTGCGTTTATTAGGCACTTCCTGTTAAGATGACATTACTTCTTTTTCCATGGAATTCCGTGCTGTGGAATTTCGTTTATTCTACATTTGTCTCGCCAACAGATTAATCCAAATTGGAAGCAGTTCAATTAACGAGGCGTGAAAAGTGGCGACGATTTGCGGATAATACGAAGCAGCTTAACATGGTTTTTTAAGTGAGTGTATTTATGTATGTATGTATGTAAGTATGTAAGTATTTACATCGGCTGCACGCAATAAAAAGTTGTTACGATGAAGAAAATTTCACTAAAAAGTTTTGAGGCAGCGTATATTTATTTATTGTATTTTTGTTATGTATTATGTTTTTGATTTGATAATAAAAATATTTACTGTGACAATAGTTGCATTTTTTTTTTATTTTTTTTATTTTATTTTATTTTATTTTATTTTATTTTATTTTTTTTTATTTTATTTAATTTAATTTAATTTAATTTAATTTAATTTAATTTAATTTTATTTTATTTTATTTTATTTTTTTGATAAAATGAATCGTTATTCTTTGCTGTCAGAAAAACTCTGCTCTGAACAAGTATCGAGGTTGCCAAATTAATAAATTTAGGAAGTCTTATACATAAGCTCTATATATAAAATGAAACAGAATATATACGCGCATATTTTTTTTTTTTTAACAAAGTTTTGACATTTTCGAATAAAAAAAAATTGATTTCCTTTCAATCGTGTAAACCGTTATAGCTGGGTACCTATAACAGAAACTTCATATAAATTTCAGCGTCGATATCTACAAGAAGGTGAGATGCTTTGATTAGTTTAGATTTAAGTGAACACATTTTTCCAAGCAAAATCCGCGACGGTTTTTTTAGTCATCGATTTTTTCCATATTATAATTCACTGAAAATCGCGACACATAATAGGTGAGAGAGCAACACAATTTTATTGAATTCACTCTTTTTTTTAATTTCTTAGCACGGCCGGGACGCATAACTCGGAATTCGGAATGTCCCGACTAAACCGGGACGAATGGTCAGCTAAGTCTAGATACTTACATATGTACATATCTGTTTATTATAAAAATTTGAGTTTTTTGATGGTAATACTCGTAGTGAAAATCCGCAAATTAGAGATCAAACTATAGTCATATATGTTGAAGTGGCGCAACTAGTGTGCAATTTCGAAAAAAAAAATTCAAAAATAACGTAATAGAATTTTTAATGAATAATTCAAATATTTTGTGAGTTAGTGGCTTCTTAAGTGTACCGCTCAGTTCAATAAGCTTAATTAGTTTATCTTCAAAATATTTTTCCTCGAAGCAGTATTTTACGAATTTGCTAACGAGTACTCGCAGACAAATGATCGCATCACTATCAAATTGTTTCTGCATGTTCTCTATATAGTTTTCCATACAATGACCTACTAGTTTTTTGATTTGATCAAATTTCGGCATGCAAAAAATTCAACTATTTATTTCAAAAAAATATATCCGAAAAATATATAATTTTGTTTTTCAAGAATTTTACTGTATATTCTTGAAATATGTATAAAAATTACCTTAAGGGGGTTTCTACTTTGTGAGAACAAAAAATCGCATTTTATTTTGTTAGCATGTTCAGATAGATACATTTTTCAAGAATATGCTCTCAAAATTTCGAGCTAAAATCTGATAAATTACGAAAGTTGTCGTGCGTTTGGTGGAACGGTGTGAAGCGCGCTGGTTCGCCGCGGCTTGGCATAAACGCATTTTTCTCAAAACCCCGTTTTGCGAGTTGGTGAAAATTTCACATGGCGCAAAAATTTAACAATGGTCATGAAACTTTTTAGATATGTTCATCAGCAGTTTGTGCATCTGTGTTATTAGAATTCGCTAAAAATGTTGAAAGTTGTTCATTCAAAAACATTTGTAAACAAAAAAAGTCAAAAATCAATTCTTTTTTCGAAAGCTCATAATTTTTGCAATCCTTATGTTTTCTCCTTCGTTCTAGTACCACGAATGCCGGAAAGTGTGCAGATTAATAAAATGGATCGCCCATTAACTGGATCGACTCTTTTAAAATTTTACTTAGTTATTGTTTTCATTGCCAAAAATCGCACTTTTTAAGCTGCCACAGCAGGTGTGCCCCTTAAAAAGTTACACTTCGCATACACTTACTAATAGTAAGAAATAAACAAAAGTTAGTTTAAAAAACTTACAAAACAAAAAAAAAAGGTAACTTCGGTTGCACCGACTTTATAATACCCTTCACAGAAACACAAGATTCCATACAAGGACTTGATTAGCTCGATCGTTCAGTTTGTATGGCAGCTATACCTATGCTATGGTGATTCGATCTGAAAAATTTCTTCAGAGATTATACCGTTGCTTTAAGACAAGAATCCATAACAAATTTTTGCCTTTTCAAATAAAAAAGTTCTCCTTACAAGGACATTATCTCGATCGTTCAGTTTATATGACAAAATGCCTTCGCACCATATAGGGATCGTCATTCTACGTGAGTGGCTCTCCCCTTCTATCATGTATTTTTTCTTTGCTCCGGGACCACTTTCGCATTACTTCAGCGCAAGGTTTCCAAGATGGATCCGTTGCGGGCCAGTTTCTACTCTTCGTGTGTTCAGGAATGCCTACAGCCAGCATCAGGCAGACTATCTTCAATTGAATGGAACAAAAAATTATAAACTATGAAGTTCAAATCTAAATAACTTTTTAAATATTTCTATGAGGGGAGGAGGGTATATATATACTTTCCTTTTTTATTCTTAATGAAAACGTTGAGAATAAAAAAAATGTGAAAATAATAATTTCCAAGTTATTTCATAAGCACTACTTTCGCTTTTCTTATTTTATAAGCCGTTTTCGTTTCGCCACTTCTTTGCTCGCTAAGCTAGAGCACAACTCTTTTGGTCAAAAACTTAAATACATATTATACGTTAGCAACAACTAAGTTATGCCATAAATTCAGTACAAAGAGTGTGTGGATGTCTCACATAAGGGGTATAACTTTCTAACTACTTATATTTGATATATAACAGTTGTTTGTTCGATTCGGCACTCGCTACGTTTCAAGGAATAATACTATAACTTCTAAATATAATAATTATATTAGAATGAAGTTGATAGAACTTGGAGAGTGTCAAATCGAAGACAAATACAATTAAATATTATTTATAATAAATATAACAGAACATTATAATTCGATCTCTCATTTGTCACAAGAAAATGGACTGTCGCGCGGATGTGTGTGCAATATGAACACCAAAATCTATGAAAAATGTATGCACCAAGCGAATAAAACATAAGTTTGTTTATAATTTTAATAAATAAATAATTTTTATTTCTCGTATTCGTGTTTTTTGTTTTTGTTTTGATTTTTCAATTTCGTTTTACTAGCTAACATTTTTTATTTATATTTCTAAATACATACACATACATACTCAAACATAAATCGCGTTAAGGTAAATACTCAAAAGCAATGCACTAATTGCTTTAAGCAATTTTTTAGTAATTGTTTGTAATGCTAAATTTAAATTTTTTCAATTATTTAATTTTTTAAATTTTAATTTTTAAAATTTTGATTTTTCAAATATTATTTTTTCAAAATTTTATTTTTTTACACATTTTTTAACGACATGAATTTGCTTTGTAGTCAATAAATGCGGCCATTTATTATAATACCAATTTGAATTTACTAAATTTACAATCAAAGCCTTCACAGAGCAGGCGCAACGGCAACATTTGGTGAAAAGAGCATAACTCAAGAACACCGAACGACGAGCCGTTTGCTACAAGTCATAAGCGTAGTTTACAAATTTGCTTACATTTAATTAACTAAGAGTTGTTAATAACTATATATGATACATATATACTGCTATATACTATAACTATATACATACAGCCTCCTCGGTTGCTGCATAAGGTGCGTTCACTCAGCTGTCGCTGCGCGCCACCACCGTCACCGGCTTGAGTATGGGTGATAACGCCGCTGTGCCGGCTGCTGGTGGCGCACCTAATGCGCTGGCCGACGGCGACAACGGTTGGCCGGGTGAGGCAGGTTGCGCGATCATATGTGCGCCAAGTTGCAATTGTTGCTGATGTGGCGACACCGCTGATAAATGTTGCATATGCTGTGTGGCATGTGGCGAATGTTGCGCATGGAGAGGCGGTGGCGCCGGCCCGCCAGCCGCCAAATGTTGTTGATGACGTTGATGTGCAGCGATTGCCGCGGCGGCAGCATGTTGTTGCAACAATTGCTGGTATTGTAGACGCTGGTACAGTTCACTGGTAGCTGCTGCTGCGGCAGCTGGATGACTCTGATGTGGCATAGCGCCCAACAGACGTTCCATGCCGCTGCTGTAGTTGGCCATAACGGAAGCGGGTGAGTTGGGTGCGCCGCCGCCACCGAATTGCATCGACATTGCTGCTGCAGCCGCTGGACTTTTCGGCACAAACGGATGGTAACGTCCGTACATGCTGGCGAGTAGGCTGGGTGCAGCCGCAGTGGCGGCGGCTTGTTGTGGATACAAAAACTGTCCGAATTGCGCATAACCCAAGCCGGGAAACATGGGACCGATGAGCGAACGTTTGAAGGCGGCGAGTCGGGAACGTGATGCAGCTGTCGTGCGGCGTCGCAATTTTCCCGTTGAACCACCAATAAAGACGTCCTCTGCCGACGGATCCAACATCCAATAATTACCTTTACCGGGATCATCGTAGTGCCGTGGCACCTTCACAAAACACTTATTCAAGCTGAGATTGTGGCGTATCGAGTTTTGCCAGCCCTGTTTATTGTCGCGATAGTAGGGAAAATTCGTCATGATATATTCGTAGATGCCGTTCAGCGTTAGCCGCTTCTCCGAGCTCTGCCGTATGGCCATCATGATGAGCGCGTTATAGGAATATGGTGGCTTCTCGTTACCCTTCTTATCGCTCGCCGGTTTGCCATCCGCAGATTTCTCTGCATCGCCGCCCTCAACATCTGCATTACCGTCACCTTCGCCCTCCGCATCACAGTCAACATCCTCCTCTTCACATTCCTCCTCTACGCCACCATCGAGCTCACCTTCACACACATCAGTCTCCACATCCTCCTCCGCGCCATCCAATTCGCTGTCGGCGCTTTCATCCGCATGTCCACTAGCGCCGCCACCAATGCGTCCGTTGCGTCGGTATTTTCGTTTGCCATTCTCTGCGCTGTGTGCGCTCACCTCGCTACCCTCCGTCAGCGGTGGTGGCGACATGCTCGTCACATCGAGATCAGACTCCACATCGGAGGCGTCATGCTCCTCCGAACCCAGTGGTGAGTGGCAGGGGAGAAAGCTATTAGGTGGCATGCGTCGATATTTGTCGATATCATGCGGCGGTGGATAGTGTTGTTGATGTTGTTGCAAATGCAGTGGATATTGTTGTTGCAGCGCTGGATGTTGCTGTAGTTGGTGCAGTGTGTGCTGCTGTGGCGATTGCTGTGGTGAATGTTGTTGTTGTTGTTGTTGATGGTGATCCTCCAGCGTTTCGGGCAAGATCGAATTGATCGAGAAGCTCGACTTGAGATGCGGTGTGCGTGCCATCTTATAGAGCAGCGAGTGTTGCAAAGCGGATTCGGCCAGCGTGTAAGCGGTTTGCGCACTAATAGTTGTGGCTGATTGTTGCTGTTGCTGTTGATTAACGGTATTTTGCTGCTTTAGCAGGTGTTGGCTTTGACTCTGCTGCTGCTGTTGTTGTTGTTGTTGTAGGTGTTGACTGTAGCTTAAAGCAAGCGCTTGGTGTTCACTGATCGCATTCGTCGGTGGCAAGCCGGCGACTTTTACCATTTTCATTCAATAAATTGTTGTTATTTATAATTTTTATTTTGTTTTTTTTTATTTTTAATAAATTTTTTGGTTTTTTTTTTTTAGAATATTCTTTTTTTTATATGCACTAAGCTGGTGCAACACGCTTGTACTGGTAAGCAACCAAACCGCTTGCTAACATTTGCTGGTGTTCATTCTTAGCGCTTTTAACGGTAACTAGTCGTTCGCAATATTTTATAATTTTTCACTATTTTCTTGTTTACCAAAACACACTTTGCATTATTCTTTTATTAATTTTCAATTATATTTTTTAATCTCTTCAAATTGCATAAAAACTATTTTTGCTTTCTTCTTATGCGTCTTCTTACACAATTCTTCGAATTCTCACACGTTTTCCTCGAAACCGCGCCAGCAACACATCTAACACGTCTCGTCGTTTATTGTAGACTAAAATTGACACCTCTCTGACTTGGCTGGCGGCACAAAGCCAAACTCGTTTTCATTCATACAAATTCAATGCGCGCGCGTGTGTATGTGTGTGTGTGTGTACATGCATACTCATGTGTATACGTATGGCGTATTGGAGAGTTCTGTGCGACCGGTTCGACCACATGGCTCAATGGCTGTGCGCGCACCGCCTTGCTTTGTTAGCCCGTAATTTCACTCCAGCGGAACCGCCACCACCAGTACACCACTACAACCAGCCGTACATCACTACAACCACCAGCAGCAATTTGAATATATGTAGCTCCAAGCCAACAACCCTCAGTTTCACTAAAGCCATTGTCCAATACTCACTACTACCATTACATTTCCTATCTGTCCCAACCAATCAGATTTGTGGATCGCGCGCATTGTTGTTGTTTTCGCATGTGCCGTGTTTCCCATTGAAGTTTTGGCCAATGGCGGCGTTTCATCTGCTTATGTTGCCTTACTCTCTTCTGAGCGCGTTCGCTGCCTTTTTGCTTGCTCTTTTGTGTTGTGTTGGTTTTTGTAGTTGCTTGTGCTGTTGTTATTGCTATTGGGACTGTCAGCGCTGTTTGCGCTAATTGCAATTGACGTGGCACTCGTTTGTTGTTTTCAACGACGGCAGTTTTTCCGATTGTTTTATTTTCTTATACAGTATTTATTAAAAGTCAACACATATAGTGGTATATTATGGTAAAATCGATTATTATGTAACTTTTTTAGGGGTTTTCCATTAAAAGCACAATTTAAAAAAAGTCTGCGTTCGAGATTCACGTGCTGATATATAATTATATATATATCCTAAACAAGGTATATTAAGTTTGCTATGATGTTTGTAATACACAGCGGGAATTGTCGGAGACCCTATAAATATTTATATATATAAATGATCAGCGTGATGAGTTGCGTCGATTAAGCCATGTCATTCATAATAAAATTACCACTTATTCTGATTTGAAATGAAACACCCAGCAGAATCGAAAATTTACAATTTTCGAACCCAGTTAACTGTTTATTTACAAACAGTCACATAGTTACCTTAAACTACTTTCGAAGACAAGATTTTTTATCAGAAACTCATTGCTCCTCGTTTCTTAAGAGGTAATATTCACATGCGAATTTCAAAATTTTTACTTCTTTTGCATATACATATGTATATCGAATGCACACATATTTGAAAATATGTTCTGAAAGTTTAAAGTTGATCTGGCAAATAGTTTCGGAGATATTTTCGAACCGCTGTTTTGAGAGTCGGTGAGGTAAATATCTCTAAAATGGCAAACCGTTCGACTTGAAAACTTAACACGATCCTAAATCTTCTTAGATATATTAGGTATTTGTCAGGTAATAATCGAGGGAATATAATTTTAATTTTTTAAGCCACTCTGAAGCGTAAATTTCAAAACTCAAAATTTTGACTAGTCATTCGACTACGAATTCAAAGCGAATCCAAAAATTTTCAAAACGAATCACCGATTATTAAAGTATATTAAATACTGTAAATGTACATTAGTTTGAATTACTTATTAAATAAAACGTTTTTCAAAAAAATAAAATCAAAAAATCACAAAAAACGCATTTTTTTTACTTGCGGAATGAAGGAGTATTAAGTAAATTGAATAGAGCTCTCGTGAACTCGTTTTGTAAAACATAATGTACAATTTCATCAAAAGCTCGGACGAAACACCTTTCGAACTTTTCTATTGACATATATTTTATTAAAGATTTTTTTTAAATCTAAATAGATAAAAGATAATTTATGTATGTATTTGATTACATATGTATTATTATGCACATATACAACATGTTTTTTTTATTTGAATTGAAATGCATAACGGTACAAATTCAAACACATTTATCAAATTATTTTTTATAAATCAAATGGCTGATCTCACACTTAATGCACCGACTGTGATTGCGCTTTTTAAATTTATTGTTTAAGCATTATTTTGCATTCGCTCCATATAGGTATACATACATTTACACACACATACAAACATATGCTTATACATATGCATATGCTGATGCCATGTAACTGCATTGTTTTTATTTGTTGTGCTTTTTGCGCATTGCTGCAAGCTCTACAAAAATGTGACAATGTTGCCCCCCACTTCATTCACAAACACACACACACACATATACTATATTCCACCAGTCCCCCTCGCATGACAGCACCAACGGCATTGGCGCTTTGCAATATTTGTGTGCCAACAAAGCGTTACATGGACACAAGCGCACACACATTCAACTATACGCCCTCTTTCGCCTATAATTTTTTATAGTATCTCCATCTCGCTCACTCACGCGCGCTAGTAAGGCAAGTAGTTAAGTTTTTCACACTTTTCTCATGCTGGAGCCGCAGTTGTTGTTGTTTTTTTTTCAATGCTTACTGGCTGTTGTTGTTGCTATGACACTGCAGCTTTTATTGGTAGGCTTATTATTATGCCGCGCACATGCACACACACACATATATACATATGCATTTAGCTGCTTTTGCCATTCTTGCAACACTTGAATTCTGCTGCCACCGCTACGGCTGCTCTTGTTGCCACTTTGTTTTTGTTTTTCGCTGTGTACAGCGTGTAAATGTTTTTGCACATTGCACCATAATTTGTAGTGTTATTTGCAAACTCACAGATCCGCTTTAGAAAACACTGAGCCGACAAGTAGGCGTTGGCGTTGCTGTTACAATTTTTGCTCTTATTATTGTTGTTGCCACTCAAGAGAATGTTTTTTGTTTATTCGATACACAAATATATACACATACATATACATATGTATATGCATATAAAAATAGCTGTCGATGGTGCTAGTGGTGGTGGTGGTGTTTGTGGTGAAACGTTCGCTGATAAGATGTGAACGCTTGTGGCTGAGCTTACGCTCGCTGTTCGGCGCTGCTGCCGTTACGCTGTCTGATTGGGGGAATCGCTCAACGTGTTGTTGGCGTAGGTGTTAAGTATGCGCAATACGAAATTGTTGGCAGTGAGAGGGATGTGAGCGAGGGATAGTACGTATGTGAATGTATATGTAGATAAATATGTACATATGTACTTATGCACTTATAAATATTTTGCTGTTGCTGGCGTTGTGTTCTCTCGTTTAATTAAATCAATATTTGACAAATATTGAATAACATGACAATCAAAATAGTTTGCACGCTTTTATATGCATGTCTGTCTGTACATGTTTATGCATGTTTTAATGTTAAGAAAAAAGTATATTTTTAATAACAGTAGTTTTAATAACTGTTAAGAGAAAATAATGTATGGAAATTCGCTAGTTTGTAATCATTTAGTATAAAAGACTCTAGTACAAATTTCTAAAGTGAAAAATAAAACTCAAACAAAATAAAAAAAAAAAACAAGAAAATACAGCACTTCAGCTGCGCTAACACATGTGCATTTTTTGTAAAAAAAAAATCGCATAAAAAGATTTTTACCTTGATTTTGATCGGAAAGTTTGTATGGCAGCTATATGCTATAGTAGTCCGATCTGCACAATTTTTTTTGGAGTTTGTAGCGTTGCCTTGAAAAACAAGCTATGTACAATTTCATAAAGATATTTTGTTAAATAAAAAAGTTTTTCATGGCGGGGCTTGAGTTTGATCGATCGGTTTGTATGGCAGCTATATGCTATAGTAGTCCGATAGCGGCGATTCCAACAAATGAGCAGTTTCTTGGCGAGCAAAGGGCATGCGCACAACGCCATCTTGATATCTTAAAAACTGAGCGACTAGTAGGCGTTTATGCTTATTTCTTTCTAATGAGCTTTAAGCCTAATAATAGCTAAAAAATAGTAATAAAATACACAAGCATTTGATCTTTACATACATACATTCTCACTCAGCATATAATTAAAAAATTAGTTAGTTACTAAAATAGCTAATTCCTTTCGACATTTCCAAATTTTTGTAGCTGTGACGCAATTGGATCAAATTTGAACCAGACTGTGCAGATAGTGCCTGTGTTGGAGAGAGAAAGATTTGTTCGGCGATATTTACCATGGAAAAATATTAACAAAAAGTTTGCTTGAAATTTCGTATTTCCAATGGAAACACAGCTAAGAAATCGTAAAAAATGTTGCAATGTTTCGGGGAGTCTACTTTATCATGAACACAAGTATATGAGTGGCACAAGGCCATCAGTGAAGGTCGTGAAGTCCACGAAAACCTGTCTCATGCGAGTCGTCCTTTTCCAGTGCTTGAAAATTGTTGTGTTGGCATCAGAGAAATAGCGAGATCCTCGGCTTATATGGATAAATTCAACACATTTCGGTTATTGTTTTGGGTATGCAGCATGTTAATGCTAAACTCGTACTAAAAGAGGTATTAACATATATTTATATGCATAGAGCAACATGTTCAGAATGTTAAAAACATTAATTAATTAAATACAAATTTAAATTTTTTATAAATTATTATACAATAAAAAATGCATTTTTCTCAAGGTTTTTAATATACATATAAAAAAGTGTACTCTATGCACTAGTATGTTTGTATACATATATGTACATGTATACAAACAATATATACATACATACACATATATATCTATGCAACATTAATGTGTTTGGCCATTTTGTTGCAATTTCCAGCGAAATTTGCGCTCCAATAATTTTTATTTCACTTTGAGCATTTACGAACATTAACACACACAATGATTGAACGATTAATTATTGCCTGCCACACAGCGCACAAATCGTTGGCATGTTGCATTTTTTGTTACACAACTGTATGCAACGATTTGGTTCCCCTGTCGGTGGGCGTGTTGCGGCTGTCAACGCTAACAACGAATACTGCTGCAATAGCGTTAGCGGTGAGCAGCTGCTGCACTCTTGCCACAAAAGCAATTGCCAAACGGTGCTTTTGATTTACGCTCGTGCGTCGCTTGCACCGCATCGCATTTAACGCACAATTGAATTATAAACTATATTACACTAACAAAAAAAAATAATAATAAAAATAAAGAAAAAGAAAAAACAAACCAACAACTAACAACGTTGTAATACATAAAGCGCACGCACAAGCCACAAAAACAACAGCAATAACACATTTCACGCAGATGTTTTCGTTTTTTCGCTTTTGTTTGGCTACATAAAATTATTTTACTCCACATTTGCGCCGCTCACACGTTATTATTGTAAGAGTCATAAATGTTGTTGTTGTTGTCATTGCCACAACACAGTTTACGAGTTTACCTGCATGGCCAACCGCAGCGGCGTATCCATTGCACGAACAGCGGCGCGGTCGGCAAACGGTCGTCCCCTGCCTGGGGCCGCCATGTTGTTGGGTGGGATTACGTGAGCGGCGCAAATATTTAATTGGATGCGCGAGGTGCGAGCGAGCAGCGCCAAAACAAACACGAGGCGAGCCGCACGCACACACGCACATGCTTGAGTGCAGCAGCTGCGGTGAGCGATGGTGGTGGAGATATTGTGTCGTGCGTGTGGAGACTTTGCGGTCTAGCGACACAAAATGGCACAGTTGTTGTTGTTGTTGCATTGTGTATGCTCCACTCGGACAGC